TGACTCTAGACGAGGTTAAGATTGTAGTTTCGCGGAAGAGCCGGCGCAGGAGTCTATTCCACAAAGTAGCGACTCTTGGAAAGAAGCTTTCTGAAAGGATTTTCATTCATGACAATAGTATAGGTCTAACACTTTCGCCCCAGCCCCTCAACTTCCGACGTCTTACTCTCTGGGTTGAGGTGTCTACTCGGTCCTAACCGAACTTAAGGGAGTGGTCGTAGGTCCCCTGAGCATCCGTAGATTATTCGACCGGTCCACTGGTTTAATCCTGCTTCCTGTCCACGTTGTGTTTGGTTTGATCCAGAAAGCAGAAGTGATGTTCATCGATTCACGGTTGACTGAATATGTAGACACGGCTGGAGAGTCTGCGCTAAGAAATTTAGAATGCAGCAAAAAAAAAAAAAAATTAATATCTGCAGAAATCTGCAGAATGATTGAATTGTTAATGTCTTTTATATAGCAGAAAAGAATAGTATAGAAAAGAAACGGGTTACAGAAAAGAAAAGTAATTGACGTAAAAACGCATACACTGGATTCTGGAGAGAGAGAGAGAGAGAGAGAGAGAGAGAGTTATGATTAACTTGATGTTAAATCGTCTCAGAACGAAATACGACTCTTGCGATGAGGGAATAAGATTTCTGTGCGAGGCTTAAAGTTTATAGTGGCGTTCCTCCTTAGCAGTTGTAACAGTAGTAGTGATATTCGTGGTAGCAGAAGCAGCGGTAGTTATATCAACAGTACATGTTAGCGGACGCTTCGTTCCAATCTCTGACGTCACTTTCTCTCCTTCTTGAGTCTCCAACTCGAATCTCCACTGTCTCTAACCCAACTCTTGCCCGGGCTAATTCTCTTCTGTCTCTCTCTTCCGTCTGCCTCTTCCGTCACTCTCTTCCGTCTCAACGCTCGCGCGTCTGTGTTTTTTTTTCAGCATAACTACGCGTTTATATAGATAAACCAGGCTTGGTCCTACTACTTCGCACGCGATTATCACGGGGTTCTGGCTGCTTCAACCAAAATCATGCGAATTCCAAAGTTTCTTCTAGCTTATTCAGCTCTATTTCAATTTTTAAACGATGAAAATTATTTCGACCATTTCCATTGTCTTCTGATGACCCAGATTCAATGGGTACAACTTCTGCCCTAGATCAAATTTCCACATCAGTAAACAAAATGCTCTGATTTAATTTCACTATTCAAATCTATTCCAATTTCACTAAAAAAAATACGTGTGTGTGTGTGTGTGTGTGTGTGTGTGTGTGTGTGTGTGTGTGTGTGTGTGTGTGTGTGTGTTTCCCAAACTTTCTCTGTCACATAGGTAAGGAATGAAGGGAGTTAATCCCGAGGACGTAGGAAGGCGAGTTTTGGCTGTAAAGATCGGAACTGGAGGCACTATAGAATGGAGCTCGTTTAAACATTTGCCATAAAAGTAACGAGAGGCTCGCGAAGTTTCATCTGTGTGAAAGGGGTTGGAGGGTGGATAATAAGTCATCACCCATAAGGTCACGTAAACGATTTTGAACTAAAAAAAATTATGAGAAAAAGAAAACGAATAAAAATTCTAAATGTGGGCAGATGAATCTAGGCGGAATTATCGAACCATATGTAAATAATCCTGCCATTTTTACGAGTACCATGCGTATTTACATATTACAAAAACTCGTATTTGAAAAGCTAATAATAGTAACGAATTAAGAAAATGCAGTCATTTTTTTTACACCAATGGTGCTACAGAGTCACAATCAAAGGACTGTACCAAATAGAAAAAAAAACAGAGATCTGTCTGCAACAACAACTAAAAAAAATAACACATGTAACTCAAAGAGAAAATAATAATATAATCAAGCTGTTGATTTACCATACTACTTGATACAAAACGTTAGGAAGGAAACCTCTATTAATACTGGGAAAAGCAATAACAATTAGTTGACTTGAGAAACGTATTTTCCTGAAAAATTGTTTTAAGAGAAAGATTTTATAAATTTAAACCAATGGTGGCGCTGGCTGCACGGTCAATGAATGCTAAATGTTTCGAAACACCAAATGTTTTAGGAAACGGCTAAAATTTCCATTAACATTAATCCTTTGAGCCCTGACCACCGCTTTACCGGTGGTAGAGAAAAAATGACGTAATGCCCAGCCACTGGTTGAACGGTGGGTAAACACTTGCGTCGTGTTTTGTTATTGGTTGTCTTATTTTTATATCTACCGTGAAACATTACATACCAATTATTTGCGAATTTTGACCCAGGCGCTCAGGAACGCAGGGCTCAAAGGGTTAAAGATGAAGAGAACAGATAACCCGCTTTGATCTCAACCCGATGGCCAAGGAGTGAAGAAAAGCGTAACTCGAGTAGCATGTCCGTTTGCTCAATGAATGCCGATTGTTTCCTTATAAGAAAACGGGTAATATTACCATTACCATAGATAAATTAGTATGTACTTTCCTATAGTATGCCTATTTAATTGGCTGACTTAATACTGATAGCCTGACACTGTTATAAGATGAACTTAGATTTGAAACATTCGGCCTATGTGACTGATAAATATTCCATGTGACTTATGTAAAAAATAAACATTATTGTGCAAAATAAATGCTGTTTTTTTCCCAGCAGTCGGTTATGGACTTATTTACTGAAGTGTATTCTTTTATATGTTCGTACGTATATAAGGTGGAGTCAGTCAGTTACATAACGTGATACATGACTGGCGAGGCAGATTTTTCCTAGATTGCCATTTCTTTCTGCGGTAGACCAGTTGCCATCCAAGGCTATAGATCCCGGTTTGTCCTGCTATTTACCCATAGCTGGGGGTGGGGTGGGGTTATAGAAGAAGAGGATTCATACCTTTCTCAATTAGCTCGTAAGTGAATGTAATAAATTCGACTGCAATTTGAACTCGGCTCTCCGATTCCTCAATCCGAGTCGCTAACCATTACTCTTTCTCTTATATACGTACGAACATATAAAAGAATTCAATTATACGCGTACATATTTATAAGTATGTATGCATATAAATATGCTTGAATATACTCTATTATGGACATCGACAGTATATATTTAGCTTATATGCTTTTGCATATAAATAGACCATTATTCAGAGCCTTATGTTTTGGGGCAGAATATCTTTAACAGAAACATTTTCCCTTTCTCATGGCCGATTGCGCATCACTGCAATAATGCCATCATTTTGTATGCCTCCACTGAAGCAGATTCATTCGTCAGAAAAAGAAAAAAAGTGCAGCTGTTTACAGTTTACGTTGTAATATTCAAAGATTCTGGAAGCTGAAGAATATAAATTTGCAAGCTCTGATAGTTATAATGTCATTTACTGTGAATGTCGTAAATAGGTTATAGTTGGTTATATTATAATTTTCGTGTGCTTTATTGTTGTCAAGTCGAAAAAAAACAAGGCAAACTATATATTTTTAAAGACAAGGGTTTATGAATTTAAATGTCTTTTGCAATTAAAACATTTAAATTTGAGGCTACGGATATTTTATATATTTAAACATGAAAATTTTAACTTGAAATGTTGCTATTGTTTAAATTAGTTAAATTTAAAGAATTAAAATTTGAAATTGAAACCTTTGCGAAAGTCTTATACCGACTGTTATTAAGCGCATGCGCACGCAAGTAAGCATACTCCACATACTAAGACTCGTATACAGAAACAAAAATGACACCAGCTGTGTGACTTTTTTTTTTTTGCCTTGGTCTGACTCTCCTCAACCCCACTCCACACACAGGGAAGGAATAGAAGTTGAAAACATAAAAAAAACTATTACCCGAATATTAACGCGTACACTACGTACAGAAAATAACCGAGAAACCCCTTATTTTAGAACATGAATCAGTTTTACTGGGACGAAAAGCGTAATATGTAGGGAAGGAAAAATTTGCCATATATATATATATACAACCTCTTCCTCTGAATGTTTACTAATGATATATCCATTTTTTTTTCAGATTCTGCCGCACAGAACTCAGTCTTATCTTGAAGCATTCCAGATACATACACACGAAAGTACAGTTACAATATTTAATGATATCAAAAATTTTAATTAAAAGTTAAATATGGAATTAAATTTAATTAAAATTATTCGCTAAACAGTATTCATTTGATATTTTAATTATTATTTAAAAGTCATATTGAAACAAATATCAATTCTTTATATAAGCTTATATTTTAATTTATTTATGTCTCTATAAAGGTTAAAGCATACTAACAATATTTCATTAATCGACAATAATCGGGTTACATGCTCAGTCGATGAAATGAGTGAAAACTGAATATTTAAGAAAATCAATTGTCCATCTTGTTCTTTAACGAAATATTGATTGCCTTCAAATATTTTTCGGAGTTACTTCTACATATTTTCAAATTTTTACTTAACATGGTTTAAACATCTTAAAACTTATGCCCCTTCAAAATGTAGATCATGGTAAAGGATTTGTTTCAGGGAACAACATTTTATGCAAACTTTCCACAGACACGACGCAGCGAAAATTAAATACAGTCTTTATATCTGAAAGATATTCTAGGTGTGTAAAATATTTTATTGATAGCACAATAAGCGGAGAGGAGACTATAAGATTCCTATAGCGAATGTAAAACTTTTCCAAGAGCCAGCTGCTGTGATAATCACTAAATCGAACCTGTAAATTCTTGTCAACTTTGCATGCCGGGGTAAAGGCGTAAGGTGAAATACTTCGAATAGTATTGTCGACAATCGCTTTTGGAATTGAATTACGATATTTTCTCCCTGCTATGCTCCACACGAGAAATACGAAAGAAACGAATCGGCAATCCTCTTAAGACTGCCCCCTCTGGTATCGTCTCATAAAAATATCGAAAGCTGCTTTTATTTAGATCAGAACATATTTATGTAGATGAGAAGGTGCTCTAACGGAAGGTTATTTTGACACAGAAATATATACATAAAAGGCATTAATGTGTGTGTGTGTGTGTGTATGTGTGTGTGGAAATAAATAGATATGAACAATATGAGATAGATAGATAGATAGATAGATAGATAGATAGATAGATAGATAGATAGATATGAGAAAGATAGATAGATATGAAAAAGATAGATATGAACAATATGAGGGAGATATATAGAAATAGATATGAGATCGATAGATAGATCTGAGATAGATAGATATAAACAATATGAGATAGATAGATAGATAGATAGATAGATAGATAGATAGATAGATAGATAGATATGAACAGACTGAGATAGATAGATAGATAGATAGATAGATAATGTGAACAGACTGAGATAGATAGATAGATAGATAGATGGATAGATAGATAGATATAGATATGAACAGACTGAGATAGATAGATAGATAGATAGATAGATAGATAGATAGAGATAGATAGATGATGAATAAAGATAAGCAAATATTTAATAGATAGATAAACAGCTATAGATGAGATAAACGATAGATAGATGGATAGATAGATAGATAGATATAAACAATATGGAGATAGATAGATAGATAGATAGATAGATAGATAGATAGATATAAACAATATGATATAAACAATATGAGATAGATAGATAGATAGATAGATAGATAGATAGATATAAACAATATGAGATAGATAGATAGATAGATAGATAGATAGATAGATAGATAGATAGATAGATATAAACAATATGAGATAGATAGATAGATAGATAGATAGATAGAAACAATATGAGATAGATAGATAGATAGATAGATAGATAGATAGATAGATAGATAGATAGATAGATAGATAGAAGCAGTATGAGATTGCTAGATATAAACAATATGATATATATATATTTCTATGTCTACTGCAGTATGTTTTCCTCAGCTAACTATAACAACCAGGAACATGTGATTTCCGGACAGATATTAGCGGCAGGTGAAGATTGCCATCAAAGGTGATGCAAGAAGCAGACAGCCAGCGACTGACGAGGAAGAGGCGGCAGTGAAGGGAAACGTTTCATAAAATCACAACTCATTTCAAAATTGATTCTACTGAATCTATCAGTGCACGTACACTGTATTCCGCGGTGTTTAGCAGTCATCAACCAACAAAAGTAAGAGTTACACAACTGCATCTATTACAGATCTGTACTAAAGATCAGTAGCATATGCAGTGGTGTCAATGTTAGAGATCATCATCATTGAACTGTGGAAGACTAGATTCGTATTGGTTAGTCAGGCATCACGTTTTCTGCTATTTTGGGACAGACGGTCGAATTGGTGTGAAGAGACTGCATTAGGCTATGTGTTTAGGTAGTGAGTAGTAAAATGTTGTGCAAGCTAATGGTGTGGTGGCTCTGCAATTGTGTGTGGTGTGTCCTATTGGAAGTTGTAAAGACCTTTAATGAAATCTACCTGGGAAAATTCGGAGCGGTTGAAATTCCGGGTAATGGAAAACTTTAGAAATCGTTTACAGAAATGTATGGTGAATAGAAGTCACTATTTGGAGGAGGTCATGTTTAAAACCAAATGAATAAAAACTATTTTTTGCTTAAACAACAGTGAAATATTCTTTTTAATAGCAGTTATATTGGTCTTTTTGTCACCCTTTAAAATATTGGATATATTTCTGCCGCACCCTGTAGTATAAAATTTCCAATGTTTTTCCACATTACTATATATATATATATATATAGTATTGAAACATGCTTTTGTGTAGCAACGTAAAATCTTTTTCTCATAATCTATTATAATAAAAATATTATAATAATATTTTGCACTTTTAAAAAAGATATTAGTATATTTATTTGTGTACATCTTATAGGCCTGAATATTCGAGAAATCTTTTTTAGAAAATATGCGACCTAAGGCAGGATTTGAAACTGCGTCCCCTAGAGGAAACCGTCATTAGACCTGACGTGCCTTAGACTAATTCAAATACGAGTATCCATTTCATATGCGTGTATGTGTGTGTGTGTAACAAGTTTTTATTGAAGTCATCTGAAAGGTAACTGTTTATTTATATTACATTTTCCAACTTGCTTATGGTTTTTTGTTTTACACACCCAGGTCTGATTTATGCTAAACATGTACAAAGTTCAAATGTTCGAATACTTTCGGCCATCTTTAGCCATTATGAGAAACGTTGATGTTATCAGTTACAGTAGGGAAATGTTTTATTTGCTTCATTCTGGCATTTTTTTAGAAACGCTCTAATTCTTTATTTTAAAATATGTGTATCGAATACAGGCGACGTCATGTGTAGAGCAGTTCATAACTTTATGTAAGGGATATGCGCTTTAAATCTTAAAAGATTAGTCCGTTAGGGATCAAAAAAATTTGACATTACCCAAGGATGAAGATATTATTACATATTCACCCCAACTTTTTCCCTTGACAGATGGGGCTTATATTCCGTAAGCCAAATTACAGTATAGTATTTATTTTTCAGCGCACCATCATCATTACTGAATATGGCACATGGTCGAAGTTTAAAGTGCGTTTAACGACAATACCATGCAAAAATTACCCAAGCCACCTCGACACTTTCCCCTTTGGAGACGCCTCAGGCGCCGAGCACTTAACCCAGCTGTCTTCCGAAGGAGAGCTACTGCATGGGGGTAGGCCGCCCCCGCCCCTTAGGCTTAATATATATTTTTTTAAACTTCCCCGCATCAGCTTTTGTCAACAACTGGCAAGTATAGCATAGTATAGTATTATTATTATTATTATTATTATTATTTTCTTTGATTTCTGGCGTTTACACATTTCTTTCCGGGTCCCGCCCAGGGACCTAAGGTTAGAAATGGTGTCATGACACTTTCCACTGACAAAAAAAAAAATGACATAGATAAAGCCCTTCGTAAAGTGTGGGCTGTACTTGTCAGAACAATTTTTTGTATCTCCTTGAGGCATGGACTTCCAGGAATCCCTTCAATTAGTCTACTGCAATCTTTTCCAACCAGTCCTAGGGCTCCAACTACAACAGGGATTGTTGATGTTCCCATATGCCGCATTTTCGAGATTTCTATTTCAAGGTCCTTGTATTTTGACAACTTATTATTATTATTATTATTATTATTATTATTATTATTATTATTAAAACATGTTGTCTATTATGTATGCAGTTTCCATTTATCAAAGAGAAAAAGTTCTTCGAATTTTTCCTCACAGGAATGTGCAGGATGGGGTAACTGGACGTGGTGAAATGTGACTTGAAATCATGATCTGGCCGACAACAAATCGAAATGACAAACACCTTGGAAAATGTCGCCGTGTATTCAATGAAGATAGTCGCCGGTTTTCAGTTAGTTTTAAGTCGGTACTTAGTGTATAGTGGGTTATCATTTATAGAGAAGTGTATGAGTGTTGAAACAGATTAGTTTGATTTGGCCTTGTTAGTTAGATAGCCCACCATGAGAGGAGTATAAAACAAGAAAATCAAATTGTAAAGTGAAACAACAAATTTATATAAAATCAATTAAGTTCTTTACAAATAAAATGAATGTATTTTGGTTGATGGAAGGGCGTCAAAATGTTTGTAGTAGTCCTTGCAAGAATGAGTTTATGTGTACGTAGGCAGGAACGTATGTATGTATGTATGTATGTATGAGCGTTATCGTAGGGTAGGAATATCTTTGAAGTAATCGCTCAGTCTTAAAATGTTCCGTTCGTTTATTAAGTATAAAAGAGGTGAGAGAGAAATGTAGAGATAATAATAACGATTGCTTGACGCTTGTCAAGGGACGTGTTAATATGCTCGTCTCCTTCTCTCTGGTGACAGGCGAACTTGTCCGTCTTTTATTTTGTTTGCGGGACTTGAAAAGGTCATTTAGGAATTCACTCCTAGATATGATTCGGGCCTTTCCATTGGACGACGAACAAACTTCACGTCGGCTCGTGAAAAGGTCCGTAAAAGAATTTTGTTTCTGAGAATTGAAGATTATTTGAATTTTGTTTTTAAATGTTTCCTAGTTTTCTATTGGTCGAAAAATATTTCGCAGCAAGGTGTGAAATTTCTCGAGTTTTGTTTTGGATTTGCTTTTGCGTGTGTGTTAAGCAAAGTTTGCAAAATCTAATCTTTTTAATTTCTAACAAAACCAATGAGTCAGTGCTTAGCATTTGAATTTTAAATCTAGATCTTGTTTTGGTTCACTACAAGTGGTCTAAGTTTATTAATATGTGTACGAATTGCAATTTGAATCGATAGATGACATATAAATCTATGGGATAGAGTAATAGTTTTTAGTCCAACATACGAATTTGATGTCTGTACATCATAAGCAGGGCCGATGCAAGAGCCTTGTATACTCCTTGTATATAGCAATATATTTCAATTTTCATAAAGTAGTATTCATATAAAATACAAATTTTATTTCAACCTAATTATGTACAATAATGGATCATATGTAATATAGGTGAACAACTGAACTAGAAAAATTGAAAATAAATACAATGTATCTAAATACAAATTAGAAACATGTCACAATAGACCATTCCATCTTAAATAAATCTAAAATGTTTTGCGGTAAGTTTTAACATCAACTTGAATTTTTCTTGTTAGAAAATTGAATAATCTAACACATTCAACATTATGGATGAAAAATAGTGTTTTTTTTTTTTCGGGAATAAGCAAAAAAAAAAAAAATACGGATTTAGACGAAAAAAAAAAAGAAGACCTTAGAATGACGTCAAAATTCGCGAAAATTTGTAACGTATATAAATTTAGGTAGAAAAATCAAATGTTGATAAGATAACACTGGTTAGAGCCGCCCAATCAGGCTTGCCGCCGGCCCCCGGTCGGGTGGGTTTCAGGGGTAGTACTGCACTGGTCTTGATTTTAAGTAACCGGCTCCCCCAAAAGGGCAAAACTTCGTAAATGACATTAGTACGTAGTTTAGAGGGGGATGGGGGTAAGAACTGGAATTGAAATTTCTTTTGATTTGTTTTTTTAGTTGATTATAACTTTTATATATTTATCACATTCAAGTGGGGATGTTTATCTGTATAATATTTTTCATGGCTTCTTCATCTCATTTATAATTTTGTTGAACTTAAATAGGTTTATTGTAATATAGTTTTAATACATTTTATGTTATTAATATGAAATTTCTTTAAAGTTAAAGTTGCTTTTGTGTACTACGAAATACTCAAGAAACCCATAATTTATGAGTTTTTGGCTCATTTTCTTTGCAAAATAAATTAAACAAGCTAATTACCCAGTAGACGGTGTTCGAGCCCAGGTAAAGCTAAGATTTTTTCAAATGCAGATTTATAAAGCTAGTGCGGTCTCTCCACATGGAAGACAGGTGCAATAAAATCTTCGTACCTGCATTTAATTTCTTTTAACTTTGTACTAGACAAATCTAAGTTTAGAGAATATTTGCTACAATTAAGCTTTTTTGAATAAATATAATTAAATATAGATGTTTAGGACCAATTAATGAGAATACGTTATTCGTGATTATTATCAATCGTTACTAGTCTAACATATATAATATATAGAAGGACAATGCACTTTTTGAAAAAAAAAGTTTGATTAAACACAAATATTTTAGGTATCTGTTTACGTACAAGATGGCGCATGCCCTATGTGGGTCTTTCCATATACAAAAAAAAATTAACGATTATTTAAGCGCACAATAAAAAGGTCTATTCCTCAATGTGAAACAAAGAGAAATTGTTTATTTACAATAGTATTTAATATGAAAGGGAAGACAGCCCTAAAAAAATTAAGTTAGATAGAAAATATGTACATAAGAAAGTGGAGACTTACAGTAGTAGCTGAAGTCCCTGGTAGAGTGTATAAAATGTCAGAAAGTTCACGTAGTGTTGTTAAATTTTGTTGAGCCTTTCGAGTGTTCCTAAGTCAACTATCAAACGAGAGCGTCCGTTTTAAGAATGGAAGGAGTTGTAGAATTATTTTTGTTTATAGTAAACTTTCAGAAGCCGGTACAGTTTTGTAGAGCTATAATTGAAGAGAGTGAGTTGATATCGTATTATTGCGGGAAATTTGTTCTGGTTATGTGTTTGTTTCAGATAAACATCAAAATTATCTGTTTTTAAGTTTTTGCCTTTGTTCCGGAGTTCTTTGCTGGTTACAGGCTATCTCAGAAACCAGCATCCTCCTTTATCAACTCACTGCAAAGGTTAATTGCTCTGCTGACCTAATCTCTCCCGACTACTCATGCATGAACAGATCCATGACGAATAGTGACTAAGCCGGCTGATTATACTGTGCCAGCCAGGTCAATTAACTACTTTTAAAAATTGTCCCGGGTTTCAAATCTTGAGCTTCTGATTGGTTGAAAATAATATCGAGAAGGAGCGCTCTTCGTAATCCTTTTCCTCGCTACATTCTTTTCTTTTCTTTTCCTCCCCCTCTCTCTCCTTCTCCCCTCTCTCTCTCTCTCTCTCTCTCTCTCTCTTAATACCCCGTACCTCGATCAAACTCAGAAACAAGGCTTATAAAGGAAAAAAAAGCCTATCCGAACACCTCATTGGTTGGAAATGTATTCACTTTATTGAGTGAGCAGATTTATTTTTTGTACATAAGTTGGATCCACTGAATATATCAGGAGTGGCCAAACTTGCTTAATATAAGAGCCGCATATGATAAAGTTCAGATGTTTGAGAGCCGCAAGACGTGAACAAAATTTACATATACATTTTTGTTACATACACATTAACATTAAACATGGTGTCTCAATTCATACCCAGTAATAATCATAAAGCTTGACGTTTTTCATATTTTTATATTAAATGTGAGGAAAAAAAGGAGCTCAGCCAATATATTTCTACGAGCCGCATATTAAATGTCAAAGAGCCGCGTGTGGCTCGCGAGCCGCGGTTTGGCCACCCCTGGAATATATAAATATACATTTCTTATTACAGTAGATGTTATTTTTAGTGGCTACACGTGTTTCAGTTGCTATCCCTGTCTTTTTTTCTTCTTGTTTTTCAGTGAAATTAATAACAACCTGTCTAGATCGAGAAGTCCTGTTCAAGTAAAATATGCCTCCACACAGAAATCGAACCCGTATTTTTTTTCTATCAGGGAAAATACTCCTATAAAATAAGCCGTTACCAATTTAACCACGTGACGCCATCTTGATAAAGAGAAGTGCAAATTTACTTATTTAAGAAATAAACATCTCCCGTTGTGTCCTATACAGATGTATTTATGCTAGCTATATTTTCATTTCCGAAACATTAAATGTACTTTTTTTAGTCCGACATTATTTCTTAGTCCTAGAAACATTATTTTTAGTGGGTACACGTGTTTTAGTTGTCGTTCCTTCTTTGCTTTTCTTATACAGTGAAATTTGTAACAAACTGGACTACTGTCGGGAGGCATTTTTATAAGACTTTTAAATACTTCATCAATGGACATTATGCACAGAGCATCTTGCAAAGAATTTTTTCCCGGAGCTAAATGCATCATTAGCTTTTGAATATATTAAAAAAACGTAAAAAGAACATCTTATTATTTCTTATACAGGGTGAACCAAAAGTAGGTTTACACTTAATAGGTATGCATTTTACATTTTTTTAAAATATGTTATTATATTTATATTTATTTGTTACAATCTTATTTGTTTAAAACTGTCTATGTACATTTGTTTAACACTTAGATTTTTTAGCACAGTTTAATCTCTTGAGTGCTCAAAATGTCCTCCTTCAACATTCCAACATTCCTCGAACCTCTCCACAACACTGAGACACACAGCACGACACAAATCCTGATCTGCATCAATTTCAATAAATACTCCTGAAATGTACTTTTAATTCGTCCACTGTATGGGGATTTCTCTCATAAAGCTTGTTCTTTACTACACACCAAAAAAAAAAAAAAGAAAAAAAAAGAAGAAATCCATTGGTTCTAGCTCAGGTGAACGTAGTGGCCATTCGATGCTGCCTCTTCTTCTGAACCAACGGTGGAAAGGATTGGTTAAGGTAGTCTCTTACTTAGTCAGTTATGTACCATGTCAGTCAGTCGTTCACTTTTGAACCGACTGCTCGGTTGAACTCTCTTCCTATGGACGAGAGGAACCCGAAGGAGGCTACGCCGAAGGGCGGAGTCTCTTTCGGGGAGGTAAAACCGGCCCTGAACCCGTTTATACGGGTTCAATGGGCATATTTTTGGCCGAGCCCACGGGCTTGGAGATCCCACGTTAAAAAGGCCTTGTGCCACATGACACCCTCGTTGGGGGGTGACTGAATATCGTCAGTTATGTACCATGCGTGATACACGCTTAGGCGATCATGTATCTTTCAATATATGACTGACGATGCAGATTTTTGCCGCAGTAGGTTGCCATTTCTTTCTGCAGCAGACCAATTGCCATCCAAGGCTATAGAACGCGATCTGTCCTGCTATTTACCCATAGCTGGGGAGAGAAAAGGAGGATTCATACTTTTTCCAAGAGTATTAGCACATAAGTGAATGTAATGGATTCGACTGGAATTCGAACTCGCAGTCCCTTACTTCCAAAGCATATGAGGAGGTGCTCCATCATGCTTAAAGAACAGTTCGGCGAAGTTAGATCTAAAACGTGAAACAAATAGTGAAACAACTGTAAGCCTACTTTTGGCTCACTCTGTATTTCTTGAAGATGAGACTTGAATCGACGGAGATGTGGTTGTACCGTCGAATGCTTAGAAGAATGTGAGCAAAGAAAAGACTTTAAGTAAAATAGAAACAAGGAAACTTATACTTAGAATCAGAAAGCAACAGTTGAAATTTCTGGGACTTAACTAGGAAGCATGCCCTGGAGAAGTTAGCATTCAAAGGACATACCGATGGCAAGAGATGCAGGAGTAAACAGTAATTGATCTACTTGACGAGTTTGTATGAATGGATAGCAGAAAAGTCTCTATTCTGCCATCTGATCAGCAATGGTAAACAACCAGATGTTACTTAGAACAACAAAAGATAGGAAGTAGCCCACACCATGAAAGACGTTCTTTATTTTTCGTTTATTCATTATTTTACTTTTTAAGCATTTTTATTCGTTCCTGTTAATTTTATTCCTTCGACTTACATTTACGTTTAAATTCTCTTTTCTTTCTTTCTTTCTTTCTTTCTTTTTTCTTTTTCCCTCCTTTTTATTTCTTTCTTCTTTTTTCTTTTTCCTTCTTTATTTTTTCTTCTTTTTTCCATCTTTCTTTCTTTCTTCTTTTTCCCTTCTTCTTTATTTCTTTCTTTTTCTTTTCCACTCTTTCTTTATTTATTTCTTTTCCCATCCTTCCTTTTTTCCATCTTTCTTTCTTTTTTCTTTCTTTCTTTCTTTCTTTCTTTCTTTCTTTCTTTCTTTCTTTTTCACTTCTTTTTTCTTTTTCTTTTCCCCTCTTTCTTTATTTCTTTCTTTTCCCATCCTTCCTTCTTTTCTTTTTTCCATCTTTCTTTTTTCCATCTTTCTTTCTTTCTTTCTTTCTTTCTTTCTTTCTTTCTTTCTTTCTTTCTTTCTTTCTTTTCCCTTCTTTTTTATTTCTTTCTTTTTCTTTTCCCCTCTTTCTTTATTTCTTTCTTTTCCCATCCTTCCTTCTTTTCCTTTTTCCATCTGTCTTTCTTTCTTTCTTTCTTTCTTTCTTTCTTTCTTTTTTCTTTCTTTCTTTCTTTCTTTCAACACTACCGTCAACCACAGTACCGATTTCTTTGTTCATTTCCAGTGTTTTGTTTTCTTCCCTCGTTCTTTCCGTACCCAGCCTTCTATCTGAACACCCGCCTACACATTACAACAATTACTTAAGACGCCCGCGAAAAAGTGCTTTATGGTTGAAGATTAATTACACTTGCAGCCAAAGAATTTAAAAATAGCACCGCTTCATTAACAAGCCTCTGTGGCAAGGGAAAGAAAGGGGTGGTAATATAATACATTAAGTCGGCTACTGCTGTCTGATCCCATCAACAGACACGGGTTTCTGACGCCTATCTTTCAGTACTTTCCCTCATCCCGTTTAAGGTGCCGTTAATATTAAGAGTAAATTCATAATATCAATGACTCTGCCAAACCAACCACTCGACCAATCAACGCAGATATTCACGTTCACGCGTCAGTTCACAGTATTTTTCGATATAAGATAAGCTTCATTTAGAATTCTGGATAAACACGGACACAGAGAGAACGAAAGTGAGAGAGACTACTTTACCAATTCAAAAGAAGTAAAATCTTGTAGAAATGTATAATAATAACTATGTAAACAAAATAGAATATATATATATATATATATATATATATATATAGAGAGAGAGAGAGAGAGAGAGAGAGAGAGAGAGAGATAGATAGATAGATTAGATAGAAAGATATAGATAGATAGATAGAGATTTCAGCTATGCTATATTTATCGGTAAAAGTGTTCAATATCAGATAGAACGTATGTAAATATAAAAATGGACACTGAGATCAGCAGCAAGCGGCGACAGTCTGTTTGAGACAACAGCACATGAAGATTTGATTATAGTGGTGAAGGTTTCGTGCAGGACCATCCACACTTTTAAAGGGCCGAATACAGAGACCTGGTGCACTACGAATACAGAGACCTGGTGCATATATATATATATATATATATATATATATATATATATATATATGTCTGTGTGTGTCAGTGTATGTGTGTGTGTGTGTGTGTGTATTTATCATCTCACTCCAAGCAAGGCGGCAATGCCTCTAGCATATGCAAAGGTGTTACTGAGAATGAAAAAGAACGAGAAAAATTTGGCGAGGAGAAGAGAAAGGACAATAAAAGAACTGTCATCAAGCAGGCAAAAGATGGCGATTGGCGTTGCATTTAAATCTTTGAAGATTGTGGGCGGCAGGGAAGGAAGAAATCTGGAGTTCCAAAGCGAACAGAAGCTATTAGAATAGAGCATACGGTTTCATATTGGTAAATGTACAAAGTGCACACACAAAGTGCATACACAAAGTGCACACACAAAGTGTGTGTGTGTGTGTGTGTGTGTGTGTGTGTGTGTGTGTCTATGTATGTGTAATAAACTAATTAAGAGGGGAGGGAAAAGTACCAAAAATAAAACCTAGAAAAAGAAACAGATACCAATCTTAACAAAAACCAACAATGTTTAGTGTCAATAAAATCAAAAAACCCCAAATGGGTAACCAAAACAGAGCTGTAATAATAGCACCAACCAGGAATCCGTGTAGAGACATCTACTAATAACTGTCACGGTCGTAACTGACTGATAATCGCATTTGGCGTAAAACTCAGTCATGGTTATCGGTTGGTGTTTTTAGATAGATTCGGTCGCTGTTATATATGCATATACATACATACATACGTATACACACACATACATGCATATGTGCATATGCGCGTACGCGCTTGTGTGTCTGTGTGTGTCGTCTGCACATGCGCGCATTATTTTACAAAGTGATGACTACGTTGGTTGTCCTGAAAGTCATGGCGGTCAGGTCGCAATTCCTTTGTTAACAACACGAGACATATACAACTAAATAGATACTACAGGGAGTAACACTTTCAAATTAGTCTTCAGCTGTGTCAACGCATTTGCGCCACCTTTTAATCTATTTGTTAATCCACTTTGGAGAAGAAAAAAAAAACTCTTTCGAGTACTCTGGTCGCCCAGCGTTGGCCTTCCACTTGGCAATTTGTCTTCAAGATTGGTTTCGCCTTCTTCAAACATTTTTCACTCACCTTCGCGCATGACACTCATCAATTGTCGCCTTACTGTACACATTTCTGAGATTTCTATGAATTTCAACAATGGTACATCCTTCTTCGTTCAAGACTGCTCTTTGTTTTTGCTTCATGTATATAGTCATGCGACATCTTAAAAACACAAACTATATCAGTCAGAAAGTACTATCTAGTGATGTAAAATTTCGACTAATAGTTTTTAGAGAAAACATCAAGCAAGCGTTGCTTTCAGGACAAGTCTTGTATTTGAAATATAAAACTATAATTATACTCTAACAGAGACATATCAGTTATTCACTGATATGAGACGTTGGAACTATTTACACTATTTACATTGTCCGAACTGTCGTCCACATTTTGATTGTCATATTCACAACGTATCGGCCGTTATACTTTCCGGCCTTCTTCAGCTGATACACGTTGGAATTTCGGACCGATTCTTTTGTTTCATCCATCGGGGTAGAGTAATCTAGTTTCAAGTGCCATACCTTTTCAGTTATTTCCTTTTAGTAACTCAAATCTCCAAGTTTTGTCCCAGGTATTGAACTCAAGACTCTTTGGGTCAAGTCACTGGGTTACTTCAACCAACGCTTTTATCCACTGGGCCATGTGTCCTAAGGGACAATCTACCCGGTGGATGTATATGTATCCGAGTTTCATGCACCACAAAATCGTCAGTTGCTGATTGAAAACTGACAGTTGCATAATATCTATCTATCTATCTATCTATCTATCTATCTCTCTCTCTCTCTCTCTCTCTCTCTCTCTCTCTCTATATATATATATATATATATATATATATATATATATATATATATGTGTTTGGCCAGCAAACCCTCTTTTATACAAGTTTCGTTAAAGACGACTGACAAGGCACTGCGATTAAGTTTTTTTTTTAATATTTTTCTTGTGTTCGTACAAGAGTTTTCTTTTCTGGACATGTATGTAAAAACTCTCCAAAAGCTCTGCATATTCAAGCGCTTTCGGCTATTCTTTTACCCATTATCAAGGACGATTTTTATTTTTAAGTGAATGTGTGTTTTTTATGTATGTGTTTAAAGTTATAGCAATGTTTTATTTTCCAAACACGGTCAGCAGGTTGTAACCGGTTTCAGGGATAATGTTATTGAGTGTTTGTTTTTTCTATTCTATTATTCGTGCTTCTATCATATATCAAAGATTAAAAATAATCTAAGCACTAATGAAAAGAAAAAGAAAATACTTGTACGAACACAAGAAAAATTAACTAAAAGGCTTAATCGCAGTGTCTTGTCAGTCGACTTTAATGTGTTTCAATCTTTCATGAATAAGCATGCAGATAATATACTTGAATTACAGTAAATATATATAATGTGCCATAGAGGCAATGGTTCCAAATTAAGATGCGTATCAAGACAGGGCTACTGGCACACATAATCAGTAATCAGATCCAATATAAATACACTGTATATCCTTCGAAAGGTGTTAACGCAGGCTTGTACCTTCGCGCATGCATACAAATTGTATAGACTTTTAACACCATCCCATGATACATTATTTCACGCCTGTTGCACCTGTTAACACAATGCAGCAAGAGTTATCGATGGGCCAACTGGAGAATCCGGTGTCTCCTTCTCATGTCCTATATGTATTCAGTGATGTATTTCTGACTGACCTGTTCGAGAACATCCTTGGCAGGCACTGCCAAGGATGTTCTCGAAGAGGTCTTAGGCTCAGAAAGATGTCGCTCCCCATGTGTACGTACGTCACACACACAAGCGAGTATCCGTTGCACGAAGACAAAACCTGATCTCATCACTAACCACTACAAAGCGCTATTCTATCACCCAGGTGATCCTTTCGTGATCATAGTAGCGTCAGTAAAAGTCTGGTTTGAGATATGTGTGCCAGTAGTCCTGCAACAAGTAAACCATACCCAACGATCCGTGTTGACACTATTGGACAATATTTACTCTGATTTGTACTGTGAAAACTATACGGCTACTACTGCATTTCTTATAATGTATTGATCTTAACAAGCAAGCAAACGTGTCCTCAAAGAAGCAAAGTCAGTATTTCTTGATAGAATATAGCCTGTCATAAGTTTGCTTATAGAGATTACTGGTAGATCCATAAGAGTGTGCTGAACGAAAGTAAATCTTCAGTTCCTTCTCTCTTCTTTGTATTTTGAGTGCTTTGCTCGGAAATTCTCTTAAAACTATACTCTCGAATAATCTGTAGTATTTCTGCGCGATTTTCCTCTAAAACTAAGGCTTTACTGAGTGATATGCATATAATTCCGTCCATAGTTGTTACAATAATTTCTAAATTAGATCCACGCAAGGCATACGGATTCGACGTTATCCCTGCACTCACCCTAAAGAAATGTGCGCCTGAATTGGACCCTGTCCTCTTCAAACTTTACAACAAATATCTCGCCGCGTCTTGCTTTCCAACTTGTTGAAAGTCCTCCGTAGTTCCTGTTTTTAAGAACTCCGGTGAACATTCTGACCCCCTCAAATAATCACCTATTATTATTTCTTACCCCTTTCTAGCAAAGTACTCGATGCTCTAATCAATACCGTATTTGTTAAGTGTAAGAGTTCTTGGATTGCAAAGGAAAATATTTGTCGCATATTACTTCCACAACGAAAGGAACAAATCACTGTAAATTCAGACTCGAAGATCAGAGGCAGAAAGAAATGTCGAAATCTCGATTTGCAGGTACTAATGTCACAAATCACAATGCACGTAACAAGTCAGAAAAATAACTCATTCACCGACGATGCCGCGGTCGCTAAATACACGAAATTTGGCTTTTTTTCTCTCCGATTCGAGAACACCAACTGCTTTTATCGGCCGAGCATTTTCCATTTGTCGACAACTGAGAGAGGGCGCACAATATTAGCATACCAAAATACTTTTATGGCGACTCCCACGACTGACTTGTTTCTAATTTAAATATTCCGTCTTCAGCATATAATGCAGAATACATGCCCTTTTTTCGGCAAGTATCTTTCTTTTTCTCCACATTTTCCGTCGTAGGATACACGCGACATGTTGTC